TTGCACTCAATCATTAAACAAAACATGCCAGAATCTCCATCTCCACCTCTGATTCCAAAAATGTTTATAGTTTCTCTTACAACCAGCACAATAAATCATGCCATTAAATTTCATGCTTATTAATATTAATAATTAAAAGGATAAAAGGATTGAATTAACATAACAAAAGTGCTTTTATACACTTACCTTTTCAATGATTCATCCACACACGCATACACATTGAAGCACTTACTCACATTTACACATCCATTCCACTTCAAAGTCATTAATATTATGAGAAAGAGATTAAATTTTAATTATTATTATATTTTAATTTTATATAGCTTCAATTAATTTCATTTCAATTATTAAAATATAAATCATTTTGTATTTTATGGAAGCATTTCAGGTGCTTTACATGCTTCTAGACACATTTGATTAAAACATCTTCACGTTAGATGATTTTAGATTCCATTAAAAGTGTATTTGCCATCAATAGAAGACAGATGGATTAGCTCGAAGAGTTTCATGTGATTGGAGTGAGATGTGGATGTTAAGGATGTACAGGAACGCATTTTTGGAAATTCAGGAAGATTCTTAATTTTAACCTTGAAACTTTGATCTTAAATGCATTCAAAATTCCTTCAAGCTGCTCCAAAACAACATTAACCACAATAAATCATAATTTCTCACTCAATCAGTCAGTCAGTCCACCTGCCAAATACAAAGCCCTAACCTGAACATCGTTATCAATTCCTCCCGACAACCATCAAGCTCAAAATAAGAATGACTTGACAATTTCATGTCAAAAACTGAAAGAATTCAGCATAACAAAAAAGACTGACATGTCAATAAATGGAAGGAATTGAAGTTTTTCTTTTATGTAATAAATGTTCAATCGGTTCATCATATCCAATAGAGCTCAGCATCGAATAGAAAGTCATTCAGTTGTAAAAACAATTTTTTTTATTTTAAATTGATTTCATCTTTTCTTCATTCCTTTTGAAAAGACCATAAATGATGGGAGATTTATTTCTATTACAGCATGCTGTAAGTTGTCGTATAACAGAGAATCAACAGAAGGAGCATGTGCTTTATGAGAAATGCACAAGAGTCAAGTCACATTTCTTATTTCTTTTGTAATCATATTATTCTTGCATCTTACAACTGTACAATGTCTACACATTCAATTTATCGTAATTTCCGTTTATTGAAATGGATGTTGGACTTTGAAGTACTTTTGTGTAAACGGCTGATTATATTTGAATTTTAACGGAATCAAAAAATTTGAATTCTATCGTTTTTTCAAAAATTTGAATTTTAAGTGTTTCCAAAAATTTGAATTTTTAACTGTTTATAAAATTTCGAGTTTTAAGCAATCAAAACTATAAGCCAACTTCAAGTCAGTCCACAAATTCAATTCTCTTGAACTTTATTTAACGATATATGGATGTACTTACGAGCAATTGTTAATAGTTGATATTAGATAGACTAGCATGAAAGAGAAATACTTGAAAGTAAAATCCATTGAATTGAAAATCGACAATTCTCAATTTGAGAAATAAAAGGAAATTCCTTTAATGTTTCAAGCATTACATTCTTGTTCTGTTTTTTCTTGTGATTTCATTTGAGATATTTGATTGGGAAAATTGATACCGAAATGGAATATTAAAGGTAATTGAGTCAATAAGGAAGAAATTTTGAGAGTCTTTTGAGAGCTTTTTTTTACAAGTGGAATTGGATTTAATAAAATTGTTGTGTATTTACTTCTGAGTAATATTCTTACATATTGATGACTGGGGTAAATTGGTATCTTGATGATTATGTGGATTGAGTTGAGAATCTCAACTTGAAATACTATTTTGAGTTTTATGAAATTTATTGGACACGATTGGAGTAGAATTAGGAGGAATTTAAGGTATTTGGATTGAGTTTTAAGATTTTACTGGGAATTTAAACTCTTACTATATTGTTTTGATTATATCAGTTTAGTATATGGAGCCAGAATTATTTTTTTTATTCATACTTTATTGAATTTTTAACGGTCTTGTAAAATTTAAATTGATAAAAGTCTCCAATGTCAGATTTTTGAAGTATTTTTGATTACAAATCTATTCATTGCTCATCAAAATATAACAAGTTATCAGCAAAAATCTCTAATTGTCTATAAAAAAAAGAAACTTGTCATCAAAATAAACTTTTTATTGAGCAATTAAAGTTTTAATTTGTTTCCAAGAAATTTCATCACAGTTTCGCACATCACTTGAGTAAATCACTCTGCTTAGACAGTTTATAAATTAATCATAAATTCAATAAATTGCAAAAGAAATGTCGTTGTGTCATATGGCTGCTGACATGATTAAATGTTTGCAGAATTGCGGAAGAAGTTCAGTACTACGAACATGGTCATAAAATAAAGTAGCATGCAAATGTTAATTAAATTCCAATTTTATTTTATTGAAAATTAATTAATTTGATTTACTGTGCTTTATGGTGGTTGGAAGAGAATTTACAGTGGATATTGAGGAATTACATCAGTTATTTTATTTTATTGATTTGTCATTTCATTGCAACACGGTCAGAGATGGGTTCAAATGCCAACCTTTTTTGAGCTTCCAGCCCAATTTTAAATTTTCCAACTCTTTTGATTCTTTGAATAAGCTAATCAAAACTCAATTCCAAATCACTATTCAATCTAATTTTTAATAGCAAATAATCCTTTTTAAAATGAAATAAAGCAAACAACTCCAAAATCTGAGCATAAAGCTTATTCCATTATAAATTGATTTTCTACTTATACAAACTTTACAATGTAATGCAGTAAATTTCAATATTTACAGAAGCTTTTATGTGGATTTTCTAAAGAATAAATCACCACTATCAGCACACACATTCAACTAAATTAATCAAATTGATCCTGGAAGTTTACTCACTTAAAATATTCATCAGAATTCAATTCAATCCAATGATTCTTAAATAGAAGATTTTCCATTCAAATTGATGTTTATTTTGCTAATGGATCAATGACTCAACAGTTTTCTGGAATGTTCGACATGGAAGAAAAATTGAAAAGCAGACAACTCATCCAGTTTGGGGGTCGAGTTACGATAGTTATTGAGATTTAATTGCTTTTCCTAGAATATGAAAATTATTATTATTATGATGATGATGATTCTGTGTTTATTATTCAATTTAAATTGATTATTCAAGTGGATCACATTTCATCGAAGTTATTATTTGCTGACATTATACAATGCTTGATTGAATTTGGTTCAAGGTAGAGATCTGATTAAGTTTCTGTGGGAAATTGATTAGTATTTTAGTTCAGCGTCTTTGGATTTTGATGAGATGGCGTTTGACTTATTTCTGGTAAACAATAAAGGTTTGAATTCAAATCCTTAGATTTCAAGAGATTCGTTCCTGTCTGTATCGTCTTCATGACAAAGTATCATTTATGACACATTATCAACAATTGCATAAACGAGCATGCAAACATTCAATATGAGAAAAATTAATAAAATGTCAAAAGCCATTCAAACAATTGACAAATATCCCAAAGTTAAATATCCAATCCTTTAGTCAAGCATTATTAAATTTCTCGGAATTTTCAAAATCATTTTCAAACTCAATTCAATGATCTTCTATAAAGGGCTGTAACAAGCTCTTACAAAATTTGAATCACAAAAGCCCTCTACTTGACATACTATAGAAAAGCTTCAACAAGGACGACTTATCCATGGAATAATCTACAAGGAAAAACTTTCCTTCGCAGTTAATGATAATCAGATTATGTAATTAATTCTATTCGTCCTCATCTTATCCCTTTTACGAAAGTGGTTTCATGAATAGAAACTAAAGGAATAATTCAATTGATAATATCCATTGATATTTAAAGTAAAGAGTAAAGAAGAACGGGAGTGGATTGAAAAAAAAAGAAAGACAAAACATTGATTATGGATATGAGGTAAAATGGTTAAGGAGAGTGGGGGATGAGATCTGTAAGAAGTTAGCAATAGAGTGTGGTGGACTGAATGTCAATAGTGATTATACGGAACTGATGTCTTTGTTGTGCATTGTCTAAGTAGATTAGCACCTTAAACTGAAAAAGATAGCTTAGCTAAGGCTTGCTTAGAAAAAATCTACTTGAATTTCTGCTCAAATGACCTTTAAACTATGTATGTTTATAGCTAAGTTCTAGAGATTCAAGCATGAATTGAGTAGTTTAACTTACAATTAAGGTCCAATTACTGATCTAAAAGCCTAAACCATTCATAAATTGTAAAAATCATGCATAAAAGTGTCAAAAACTAAGACATCCACAACACCTTTCATCCTTCGACTTATTTGCATATTTACAGCATCTCATCAATTAACCTTTTCACAGATTTACCAAAAACTAACATTTTAATCCTAACTTCAATCTGATAAACCCGACAAACATTTTCTAGGAAGGATTAAAAAATATTTTCATCTCTTCCGTCTCTTTCCATACCATCGAGATAAAAAATATTCAATTATAAAACATGAGAAAGATAAGCATAGAAAAAAAAAGATTATATCCATGGGACTTTTCCTCCGACAACAAGTCTCATTTTCAATTATGTCCTAACCTTAAACAGAATGTAAAAAAAATGATACAAATTTTTTTGAGGATTGAATAAAAAACATTCAACAATCTCGGAAAAATCTTTGGATTAAATAAAATGCGGAAATTGTGCCCAACAAAAATTGCTGAGTTCCTTGAGAAAATGGTCTTGATGCTTTGAAATTTCAATGTTTTGATGTTTTGGACATAGAATGAATGTTATCAACATGAATTGTTACAATACAGAATGTTTCAATGCATCAAACCTTAACGTTGTACAAAGTTCAATGCTCCAGACTTTTGATGTTCTATTAGTCTCGAATGTTGCCCACCTGCATGCTTCATGCATCCAAAAATGTTTAATGTTTTTACATTGTAAACAGCACAACGTCTTCTGATACTTTTCTACTCTCTTCATGTTGATTATTTATTCTTATGTTGACGGTTGTAAGAGTCGGACGGATTTTCAAGATAATCTGCGGTAAAAAAAGTAATTTTTCTTAAGTCTAAGAAATAATTTAAAAGAAAATAAGAACAATTTTTTTGGTGTGTTTAGTGCGAACGAGAATAATTTAGGATTAATTAAGTGGTGAACACACTGAGTGAAATTATCTTTGCATGAATGCCGAATTTTTTTCTATGCTTTATTTTATTCCCAACTTTATTTATTTTTGCTATGAATAAATTAACGATTGAGAGAACGAAAACATGAAATTGAGGATTATGCTAGTGAAAATAATGTGTAAATTTTTTGCATGAGAATTATCGGATTATGTAGGAAAAGGAAAATAAATTTAAAGAGAACAAAAAAAGTACACGTGAAATAAAAATAAAAGTGCTGAACATAAATAAAAATAGACTTCCTTATCTTTGTGAGAATTTTGTCAGATTTTTGTTGCGAACTTTTGAGATTGATTGTGAATTGTTGGAGGGGGTTTTGTGATTGTGGAACATTCTCAGAGATTTATTGGAGTGTCTGTAAGATAAACCTTGGTTGACAGTTCTTCCGGTTAATAAAATCAGTTTTCTAATGTTTCAATCAATTAAAAATTTATAAAGTTTTATTGATTTATTCAAATTTAAGAAATAAGTTAATTTTTTATCGATAAATTCGACGGTCAGAGGCCCTATTAAATAGTTGCTGATTTTCAACTTTATTGGATTATTGAATGAAATTACAATGTTAGACAATGGATTTTGCAATAAATCTTTAAAGCACGTGTTAAAGTTTCAAATTATTTCAATCTTTAAAATATTCCTCTGCATCATTTTGAGACAATTTCTACCAAAATGAATCATTTTAATCACATTGAATTTTGAAAAAAAAAATAGAGTTTGCAAAAATAAGAAGTCTGTACATTTTTTCTTAATTTCAGTCTTCATTGCTTCAAACCAGAACATTATTCTACAAATTGTCTAACATCTTTCAAAACATTCCATCCAAATCTCCCTCAGGGTCATCTTGTAAAATATTAACAAACAATTTTCTTTATTTTTGGAGAAAAAAATCATAAAAACATTTTCCTTGAATTTCCATTAAATTAGAAGTTTAATGATTTTTCGCAACGAAACTTGAGAAACTGCATGGGAATCTCACATTTCATAACGTATCGTATTAATATTGTGCACGTTTTTTTCCATCTTCTCTTCTCCTTCCTCATCTTAAAATGATCATAATTTATCGTGTGTCTGAATCGATTCGGAATATCTTGAAATGTGCTAATGAACGTAAATTCGCTGAACTCTTGCTAATGAATTGAAGATTCATTTTATTTAGTATGAAATGTCATTGATTTTTAATAATTTTTTGGCAATAAATTGGAGCTTGTTAATAATTTGTTGGAAGAGGAGATAAAACAATAAATCATTGAAGATTTATGAGTTGTTTTAATGCGTGAGGATTATTTTCGATGGAAAAAAGATTCTTTTAATGATTTTTTCTGAGAAAATTGTGTTTAGAATTTTATCTTACAGAATTTGAGATTATTTTCTTAAAAAGTTTCTATTTGTGGGAGTTTTTGAAGGAAATTATATTTGTTGTGGATTTTTGGTTTTAAATTACTTCGATGAAAATGTTTTAAAATAATTTGAAGGCTTAGTTTATGCTTTTTTAATATTATGACGAACGTTTTAAAAACTAAAATATTCCTGCCACTTTTTTGCATCAAACTAGCTCAATTGATCGTTTGAATTTCATTAATAAATTTAGAAATTTTGCAAATTGCATTTTGAGGTGAGAAATCAAAGTTCCACCATTTTGTTTAACAATTTTCTTTCAAATTTAAATTTTTGATAAACGATACAAATTTTTAAGTGAAGATACGTCAAATTTGGTATCTGGATGCCATAAGGTTCTAAATTGTTTGTAGAAACTACTCTGTTACTACACTAAGTTATTGCAAATAATCTCTAGATATCTACTCTGCTCAGGACACATAAATAGTAAAATCCTTAATTCCTTTCTCAAAGCAATAAAAACAAACAAAAAACTCATCAACATTACTCATATTTTTATCAAATCCCACAGCAAATTTCATGATAAAAATTCATTCCATCTCATAATCAAGAAGTATAAAAAACAATCCCCACGAGTGAAATTCGTTGAAAAATTTCATTTAATTCATAATTTTATCGTAAAGTGTCCAAGGCAATCCATCAAATTTGCCAGAATATCTCACAGTCCCATAATGAGCATGAAATAAGTCTCAAGTTAATAAAATTTACAAATAATAACTTGAAGCATCAAACAAATTACCATCATAAGTACTCAATCAAAAGTTGACTTAGTCGGGAAAAAAAAGAAGGAAGGAAAATTTTTCGTTTATGCAATCAGCAAGAGAGGAAAAGAAGGAAAGAAAGAAAAAAACTCAAATATTAAAAAAGAATCGTCAAATAAATTTTCAATTATTCTCATCCTCGTTCCATGAAAAGCTTCTTTTTATGCCTGTGTCAGTCATTCATCCGATTCAATTGAATGGCAAAGTAGGGAGAAAAAACTGTGGAAAAAGTTTTTAATTCACTTGACAGAAAATTTCTCTTTCCTTTTCCTTCTTTTTTTTGCCTTAAGTTCATACACAAAAGTTCTTAATTAAATCTGCGCTACTGCTGGATTATCTTTTTTGAAACTTTCAAAAGCAGCATAAGGGATTGATCAGAAATGATGTGTTCCAAAAGATTTCAAATTCTGCTTTTTCAGATATACTGGCACTGAGGTTTTAAGAATTAGAATGGAATTTTGGACGTCAAAAAGACTCTGCCACAAAGTTCATACATGTCCTCCTCACTTATTCAAGCCATGATCATCATTTCCAATCGATCTCAACTAAGAAGATAAGGATGGCAAAAATATATAATTAATCAATATGTTTTATCACTTGAAGGGAATAAGGATAAAAACTAAAGGAAGTGCATAACGAAAAAGTTTTTCATGAAATTGACTTTTCTATTTTCATTTCAATTTGTAAAGAAAATTTTCCTCATTTTTATTACTTTTTCTTTTGAAATTTATTGACACATGGATTTATAATGGTGTGAGATAATAAGGTTATCATGCAGTGGAAGTTAAAGTAAATTATATGTTTGTTTTGAGACGCAGTTTGATTAATATTCATTGAATTTTGAAATACAAAATGGCGGTTACTCACCTCAAAAAGCTTTTGATCAAAATTAAAATTACTAAGGTATCCTTAGGATACTACAAAGTAAAATCTTGTTCGAAAAAATGGCAACAATCATTAAATATCAAATTAGCAGTAAAAGACTGAATAATAACCTGAATTTCAATCAATTTTGTTTACATAATTGCTAACTTTAGTATTTTTCCCTTGCTTCTACATTTTAATTGTTTTAAATTAACTCAAATTGTTCAACAACCTTAAAATGCTCACCCAGTCATAACAAACCTCACAACCATAATTCCAAACCAACACAGAATATTGAGATGAATGTAAAAAGTTTCCGAAAAAGTCATTCAAAACACATCTTCAGGCATCAATTCAGCTTCTTGAAAAAGAAATGAACTTTTCTCCGCAATTTTCTTTCAATTAAAATAAATTTCATCGCATTCATTCATCATCATCATCGTTAACATCATGCAATGCGGAACATTTGTTCTGTTCTTCTTCTTCTTATTTTGATGCTTAAATTGCCCATCAATTATTTTCTTAAAGAAAATTGTGCTGAATTTTTGCACACATATGGTGATTTATACATTGTGAATCATATGATCGGTGATCAATTTGCTGCTGGGTTTTTTTTTGCTGTCGCGTGATTTTCTTGTATAATTTATGATTCATTGGATTTAAAGTTAAATTTCACAAATGTCGTAATTTGCATGTATAACTTTAATTTGCATAAGATCATTTAAAGGCAATGTTTGACTCCTACTTGAAGTTTGAACTCAGCTGCTATACAAACTTAAGTCTCTGCTTCTGACTGCAATTAGGCATTCGTTAATAAGGACTTTTTTCGGTTAAACCTTGACATTTAAAGTTAAACCTCTCAATCTCAAGCAAAATCATCCGAATTCTCTTCAAACCCCTCTCAATCTTGACATAAATCTTCTCACTCCAAAAAATTTCAGACAATTAGGAAGAAACACGAGATTAAATTTAAAAGAAAATATCAATAATCCTAATTAGCACAAAGAATTTTATTAAAAACTTTCATATTAAATTTTATAAATATTTTCAAAGCACAACAAATTATCATCGATTCACGTATGCTTCTCTTAGTCTGAATTTATTTAATTAGCTTCGCTGCTTACTTTTTATAAAGTATCAAATTTCATATCATATAATTATAATTCATGAAAAATTAAGTTTTATGAATGAGACAAAAAACATGAAAATTTAAAGCGATTAATTCGGCATAAAAAGACAGATTTAATAGCCCGAGCGACACATAGACAACGTCACTTAAATGGTTGCTTTATGGTGTCACACGATTGATATATTACTGCTTAGTGTCGGTTGCTAGCATGTCACATGGTTGCCTCACATGTGACATGGCTTTAATATATGTGAAATTGATGTCATATGGCTATCGCTAGGATGTCACACATGTCATATGGTTGCCTCAAATATGACAATAATGTAACAGCCATGCTACATTATGTGGTATTACTATCACAACTGTATGACAACCATGCAACTTTATGTGGCATTAGTATCACAACAGTATGACAACCATGCAACTTTATGTGGCATTAGCATCACAACAGTATGACAACCATATAGCTTCCATTAGGCAACCATTATTATGCTGTGTTGTTAGGGCAACAATTACAACTTTTCATCTTTTAATTTTCTGCCGTTGCTAATATTTTATTAAATTTTCTTCTTTTTTTTTCATCTCCAACAGAAACGTCTTTTATTTTTATCATTTACCATCACGACATTAATTAATGTCTCTCACTGCCGAGAGTATATCAGTAATGTGTGTTTGAAAAATTGCTTAACAAAACGAGAGGAACTTAAAAGGCATGAAAATTATGAAGGAAAAAATAAATTAAAGTGCTCAAGTGTGAATATATAAAAAGAAGAAGATAAAGCAATTTTTTGTCTTATATTTTAAATTCATTTTCATAAAAAATAAAAAGTTAAAAGCGTTAAATATACACAATTTGTACTGAACTTTACATATCTCGTTGTGTGTGACTGCATATATTTATTCAATCTAGTAAAGTAAATTCTTTTCATCATCACATACGACGACATTCTGTTTCTGTTTGAGAGAATAACAAAAGAGAAGGAAGCAAAAATGTCAACAATCATCGATTCAATCAAAGTGAAATCATACGCACAATGCATTATATGGTGCTTAATATTTGTGTCAATATTAAGTTACACAGAAGCGGGTTCGTGTCGTGAGGCGGCACTTTGTTGCACTGGACGTGATTCATCTTGTGTCGTACAAAAGACACCGATTAATGCAATTGTTGAGGATGTTAATGAGAAGCCGTGTTATTGTGATCACGCATGCTTGAAACTCGGAGATTGTTGTGATGATTTTAAGTCACATTGTGGAGGTAAGTGATTTTTGATGATAAAAAAATCAGCATTTTTTTCTAATTTGGAGGATGCTAATGGAATTCTTAATGAGATTGTCGTGTATCGAGGCTTTTTTGAGGCAATTACTCTTCTAAATGAGATCGTTTGTGGAAAAGTCGAATTTTTTGACTGGATTACTGGATCTTGAGTTGAATATTTTAATTGACTTCTTTGATACAACTTTGATGATGGCTATTAGTTATCTATCAGTTGAATTGTCTTTTGTGTTTTGATTGATTCTTGCTTTTATATCCAAATTGGATTTAAGATTCGAGGGATTTTAGTTTTTTAAGGGAAATTCAGATTAAATTTTGTAAATGTTCAATTCAATTGATTTATCCAACCTAATCTATAGTTTAACTGCTAATGAACTGTTTAAAACTGAAAAGTTCCTTTATCTTATTGAAAGGATCGAAAGTCAAACTAATTTTACATTCAACAAAGCTATTGTCGAGAATTCTCTGTTAAATTTAAAATCTTAAAGCAAAAAATCGTGCCAAAAACACCTTAATAACCTGTAACAACCTCAAAAATCAAGCAATTAACCTTCCTTAATTTAAATTCACTGTTAAAACGCCCACCAAACCAAAGAATTAAAGAAAATCGTGTCTTTTACTTTACATTAAATGCTTTGTAATAAATCATCAATGTCTCATTCAACATGGGAAGTCGTTCATGAAATTGTGTCCAATTTCAAGAAGAAAGATGAATCAGAAGTCAATAAACATCATTCGTGAACGATCCCTTATTGAATTTGATTTTATAGAATTCTTTTTTAAAGTGCTACATGCTCGTGACATTTCTTCTTCATTTCCTTCTTCTTATCTTCCTTATTACTTATTTATTTATTCTCCATAACACATCTTCTACTTCATTTCTCATCTTATTCATTTGAGATACACCTTATTTGTTACGTGGATTATTATTATTATTTAATTTGATTTATGTGAGTTTCTTACGGTTTTCAACCTTTTCATACATGTATGTAAGCTACAATAAAGATTTACCCAATTTATGTCACGTCGTACATCATTATTTACCTTTTAAAATTGAGAAATGTCAGAAAATATTGAATTTTATTAATCATAACAGTAATTTGCATTCAAAAATTATTGAGACATAGAAGGAAAGGAACTGCTTAGTATAAACACAATCAGTTTACATTTCATTGACATTCAAGAATCGACGCACATGAAATGATGGAGATATAGAATCTCGATATGTCTCTTAAATCCCATTGTTATGCTTAATACAATGAACAGTTCTCTTTTCGTGTGTAGGATGTCTCCATTCTTTCTAATTAATATTAAAGCATTTAAATGCTTTCTCTCGCTTCTTTTCAAGTAATTCTCAATTCTTGTTTGATGGAATAAGTTCGATGTAAGTGGCTTCGTGTGTGGTGGGACGCAGTGCTGTTATTGATTATTTATTAATTTTAAAGAGCGATTTTGAAGATTTTTGGTGCTTTAAGGTAGCTCAAGATGAGATGGTGTTTATAATGTGGACTACAAATCAAGAATGGAAGCTATAAGTACAAATACCGAGATACGAACTTAGCTTGAGATTATTCAGGATTTTTGTATCAAGAACATTTTTTGTAATGATTGTGAGATCGTCTAATGGAATAAAATTCACCAGCAGACTATTTATTGATGGATGTCATAAACGATTGAATGATTTAAAGGAGAAACCTTTAAAAAAAACGGTTTATCAAAAATATTATTAATTTTTTTTAAATTATAGGATTTGAACCTTCGGCAAATGTCCTCTTCCAAACTTATAGATTATTTAACTTTTAATCATTTCCAATTCTTAATTCAAACTTGGCAAAAGTTCTTACATAAATCTATTATTATGACTACAGCTACTTACAATTCGATCCATTTAACTTCTACAACAAAGTAAAAATAAAAAATTCACTTCCATGCACTTTAAGTACAGCACATAAATAACAACTTGACAGCAACTTATATCGTTAAGAGAATTTTTAATTACTCTAAAGTCGATTGCTGCGTAGACAGTCGGAACGAATTTATAATAAAAAGCACCTTTTTACAATTGAAAAAAATACCAGAAAGTTAAGGAGGAAGAGAATTGTTCTTTTTATGTTTCTTTCTCCACTATAATGATGTCTTTAAATTTCGTTATTTTACTTTTTTGTGTTGAGGAAATTGTTTTCGATTCTACATTTTCATTCTTTTATTTACTTGATGCTCAAAAAATGTTGGAATAAGGTAGAAAACATTGTTTTGCTCCCATGCACGTATCCATTATTCCTGTAGAATGTACAAATAAATTTCAAAAAGAAATCTTGAAAAAAAATGAACTTAATTGTGAGACATTTTGTAGGAGTTAATAGAATTAGAACGTGCATCGTTTAAAAAGAGAACGGAAAAAAATTCGACTGCTTACTGAACTTACTGAATGTAAAATTATTCAATTTGTTCGGTTTGTCTGGCTGAATAGTTGAGCTAGCGTTGAAATAATGGAAACACGTTTTAGAAGGTTAGACCTAATGATTCAGAATTCAAATTAGAGAAAACCGTTAAAAAGATTAAATGTTAAATCTTCAAAATCCGTTGAAATTTTGAATGTCAAAAATCTGGTAAAAATTGCTGATAATTCCTACTTTTCAAAATAGCGCTTATGTTTCTCAATCTACTCCAAAAACACTTTCTCAAACAATAAAGAATTATTTTTCCACATCACGAATGACGATTTTATATTCTCTCCTCTGTTTGAAGTTCTTTAAAGTAAAAAAAAAAATATATTTTGAATGAAAAACTTGAAATATTTCATGTGCTATTTTTAGTTCCTTCTAAATTGCATTTAACTCTTTTTTTTCCCTTTATGTTCTCTACTTTTTTTCACTTCTTTTTGTTGAATCTGTTTTGTGTGAATTTATTTCCTAAATAAGAAATTTCATTGTGAATGTTAAATGCGAGGTTAAAGGGTGAGCAAATGTTTGAGAATTGAAGTTAGGATTGAATTTTGGGATCTGGAGCATTTTTAAGGTGCAAATTTTAGTTTTTGATATTGAATTCAAATCTGATTTTCAAGATTTGAATTTTTAACGAATTTTCAACATTTAAATCAAATGATAGGTTTAGATTTGATGATTTTTAAACTTTTAACCTCAAAATTAATTGACTTTAGGCTTTGAACCTACTAATCAGACACCAATCTACCCAGCATCATCTTTAAAACTTCTCATTCAATCTTAAAACTTCTATGTATTTCCGAAAACAAATTCTTTTTCTCGCCGCAATAATAAATAACAAAAAAGAAACATTTCTTATTGAATTTCCATGCGATTTAAGCTATTCAGAAATTCAATTTTTTATGCATTCAGCAAAAGAACAAAGGAGAAGACGGAGGAGCTGCGATGGAATTTATGAGTCGTACAATGATCGAGAATCAAGAGCATTTCTTGGAATTGACTTGGGAATCATAAAAATAAAAAAATAAATAAACGAATTTGCACAAAATGTGACTTTAACAAATACTCTGGCATATGCAGCATCAAAATTTAAGCTTTTTTCGTGTCTGCAGAGTTTTGTGTAAATTATTTGCGCATATATCGCATGCTGAGTTTTGTGTGTGGGTGAAATAAGAAGATTTTTTTCTCACGATTCGCAGTCTTTTGTTGCTGAACTTCTTTTGTGGATATAAAAAAAGTTTATGATAAATATTAGCATAAAATTATCCAATTGCTATTATTCATCTTCATTAGTGTCTCTTTCAATTACTTTTTACTTCCTTCATGCCTCGTGTGGCTTATAATAAGGAATAAGATTGCTTTAAGAAAACAATTTTTTAAATTTTTAATGTCATTTATTTATGTTTGCAGCATAGAGTCATTATGAATTTTCAGGTTCTTCTTGATCCTCATTTGAGTCACCAACTTCTTCTGAATTTTCTTCAACAACATCTGATAGCTGCTGTTCCAAAGCTGTTGGACGAAAGTCTTCAGAATATTCTTGCTCTAAATCTAGTAAATCGAAAGTATCTTTTGTCCACATTAATTCCATAGTGTAATTTTGATTAGTATGATTGGCACAATGACTAGCTATTTCAGCGTATATATCTCGATCTTCAAATTGCTCACTATCAGTTTCATAATCGCATCCAGTTTCGGTCATTTTGTATATTTTTTGGTGTCTCTGTGAAAATTTCGGTCAGTTTGATTCAAAGATTTTTTGATGCTTCAAATTTCAAAGTTCTCTGAGGTAAAGATAAATTGTATTAAGTTTCTCACTTTACATCATGAGAATTGTACGAGAATCAGACAAAATGCAGGACATAACCACTCAGCCTTCCAAGATAATACGCCAAAAAAAAATATGAAAAATTCATGAATGAATGCCGTAAAGGAAGAAGAAAAGCAAAAAAGAAAAAATCAATAATCAACAACAGCATTGAATGGCAACGAAATAAGCATGCATACAGCATAATCGATGGATTAACGAATGTATAAGAAAATATTATTATTGATTGAGTTATTTACCTTCTGATTCTCTTTCACGCTCTATTTCCGTCTGCCTTCTTTTGACTTAATAACAGCGAACTTTTATGTCATAACTTACTGCAGTGCCAAGTGCCGTGTAATAGTCTTTAAAGATCGCAATGATGATGATAGAAAAATGTCTAATAATTATAGTAAATGCAGTTCTTTCAGCACTGCAATTATCTTTCATTAGAGTATACAATGGCTTCAAGCATGATTCATTGATGGAGCTAAAAAGTGGGTTGAGGAGGTGGAGTTACTTTTTTGTTGATTTCTCTATCAAGTTGTGTTCTGTATTTTTAATTAAACAGACACTGGAATGTTATTGAGATGGATATAAAAAGGTTCTACGTGATAATTAAACAGGTCCAGTCATGTAGATGTGTCGTTTAGCTTTTATGAAGTTGGGATGGGAGGTTGGATTTGATTTAATGTACAAAGTTACAAAGTTACATTAAAGTTACATTACATAAGTTGTACAAATTGCTATGCTAGTTTTTAAGCATTCAGTTGAATACTAGCTGACAATAAAACCGTGACATGGGTTCGAATCTCATATTGTTAAGTGTAAAACCAAAAAACTTTTGTGCTCAAATTTATTTAATTTTTTTATAATTTAACCTTTTTTGCTGTTGGCAATAAGCTAGTTCCATAAATGACCATCATCGAATTCAACTCTAATAATGGGTCTCAGGGCCTAAGTTTGATTTCCACAGCAATTACGAAAATTTGCACAATCAACCCATAAACTTCAGAAAAGCAATCCAATTAAGCTTTATCTACCAAAAAAAAAAATCTCTTCATAAAAACTATCAAGCACGTCCAGTCTTATAAAACTTAATTCTAACAATAATCTTACCGACAGACAAAGTACTTCAAGTCCATATCAACATTCCGTTTAGAGCAAAAAAAGAAAATAAAATCACAATAAAGAAATGAAAAATGTACACAACATGATAAGTTTGTGAGTCACATCCGAGCAGGTCAACATACTGTTCTACATATGTATATTCCCATAGAGTACAATATGATTCAATTAGTCGTTAGATTAGAGAGTCAGAGGATGTTAAACATTTTTTGCGGTAAACATAAAAGGCGCTGCACGTGCGAAATTCACCGTTACCGAGTCTGCGGCTTTTGCGGGGTCAGTGATGGGTATGGAATATGATTGTTATCATCCGCTATCATCATATGTTTAATGTTTAATGAAATGGGCTTATAAGGGTGAAGTAAAGTACGTAGGAGTGCGATAAAATGATGAGATTCATGTAAATATTCATAATTATTAAAAAGCATGTGTAGCATGGCTAATGGTGCTACATATGTACATGTGTGTGGGCTTGATAATTGATAAGTTGATGTTGTGGGATGTTGGAAGAATTTTGCAAAGAAATTTTTGATAGATGTGAATAATTTTAATACAAATGAGCTGATTGAAGACATTGTGTCATATTTAGAGCTTCCTGAAATTCGGTTCAATAGCTATTTACTAGTATAATGTAATTGTCACGTAGTATAGCTATGGTTGATCTTAGTAGCATTACTACGAGATTGATCCAAGCTAGCTTTTTGCCTTTGACTGATGTAATGTGCTGCTCGGCTGCTCTGCTGTTACTTTCCTGTCAATTAAACATCACTGCACATTAATCCTCTTCCATATTAGACAAAATCCTCGAAATAAATCCAAAATACCTCTGCAATCAACAAAAATAAAATAATAGTTCCATTAAAGCAGCATAAAAATAACGATCAGCAATGAATAGCAGTGAAAAACAAATTTGACATTGAAATACTATAGAAGGAAAGCGAGGAGAACTAACAATAATAAAATATATACAAAAATAGCTATGGCAAATAAATTTTAATGCACATAAAAGATTCATGGCAATGAGCGGAAGGAGATGTGGTAGTGGAAGGAAGAAGAATGGGAGGAATAAAATGAGAGACTTTTTGATAAACGTGACATGACTTAGGTACACATAAATCTTTCTGTCTTGTAATGACAGCGAATATCCAATGACTTCGATTATATTTAGAATGCTGGGTTTTGGAATGTAATTTATTGGAACTTTGTAGCGCATTTCTATTAATTGCTATTACTTCATTTTGAATAAATCCTGCGTTTTGTTCAAAAATACTAAATTATAATTCTTAACGGATTTTTGAAGTTCATATTTTCAAGGGGTGTTCAACTACAATATTAAGTTCATAGTTGTAGTTGAACACCCCTTTAATTATTAAAAAATTCATTTTTCATCATCAAACCAACACACTTTGTTACAATTTGAAACAAAAGCTGATTTAGGCTCAACAAAACATCAAATTCAGCTTCCTGTTCCGCACCACAAGCCATATAATGTAAAAATTTTAAATCAAAACAACTCAACCGATCCAAAATGAACAAAAAACCACATTTTTCACTTCCGAAACACGCTAAAATTCGATTCTTCTTGCTTCTCGCTGAAAATATACTCGACAGCAATTTCATTAAATCTCTTCGATACCTTTCAGTCCTATTATTTTGTCAAAAAATTTATATTTATTATTGTATAAAAAATATCTGAGTCTATTTTTATTATTATTTATTTACAGTCATCGATTGTGTTCTCTCAGAATGGGGACCATGGAGCGAATGTGATGCAAAATGTGGAACTGGCATGATGTCACGAACTCGATCAATATTGAGGGCACCCGAGAATGGTGGTAATGCATATCTGATTTTAAAATCCATAGCTGTTTTTAAACAGCGCTTATCTTTCGTTCCAGGTAAACACTGTGCATCGCTAACACAGAAACGTGGATGTCAAGGATATAAATGCAATAGTGTTCACGAGAAAAAATACTTAAAAGGTAATAAAGCATGACAATCTTTAATATTTTCAATGATAAATGACTATGGCAATGAACAGTTGTTCTCATTGTCAACTTGATGTCTATTTCTGTGTATTTCATAATTTATTGTTGTTTGATTAAGAAGTAGAGATGAAGTCGATACAGAATCTTGTTCTCTTTTGTGTGCTTCTTCTCAGCATTAAAAAACTTTCGGCAGGAAAACCGCTTAAAAAATTTCTTCATAAATGAATTTGTTCAGAAAACAATTTTGATCAAGAGTTTATTTTGTTTATGGCAAGGGATGGAAGTGCTAATATGCAGGGAATATGCTTATCCTTTAAATTTATTGTATGAAGTTAACCTAAAAAGTATGTTATGAATTGTCCCTACTAGCTTTTGTTACATCTGTTTAACTTAATATTATATGTGCTTCTTATTCCCAAGATCATCTAATGCAAGTTTGGGGTCGTTCACTTATTACGTAACGCCAAGACTTTTTAGACCCCCCCCCCCCCTCGTAACAAAATTTGTGTGAAAAAAAATTTCTTTTGTTTGAACCGTAACAAAAACTTAGACCCCCCTAAAAACATAACGGCTCCTTTACCAGTCGATATATTATAGTGAATATTAGCGTGATTAACCTCAATTTGTTAGAGTTTCTTAAGCTCAAATGGAAAATCCATGTAATTATCCTCTAACATACTAATAATTCCGATTAATCCTAAACCAGCACAACTTTTAAGTTCAAAATCCCCCTTCAACAATTTTCAATTGCTTTTAATTCATAATTCAAGATCATTGAAATTAATTCATAATTCACTGTTAATTCCCATACGACTCTTGCCATTTTATTCACATAATTTGCACTGATTGAGGATAAATCATCAATAATAATAAAGTTGATGAGAAAGTTTTCATCCCCTGATGCAGAAGCACATGAAAAAAAGAAAAGTTTCTTCACTTTTTTCTTTTGTTAATAAAAAAAGTTTATCTCTGCAGAAAAAAAAGGAAAGAAAAGTCTTCATTGTTGCTTGATTTTCTCTTTCTTTATACTCAATTGTGATTGATTGAATTCAACATTTCATTTTTATACATCTTATCTTCTTTTTTTATATCTACAGAATCAGCAATGCTTCTACCATCGGAATTCTCGAAGACTCGACGAGAAAACGACACAATTGATATAAGGCGGAACCTTAAAGTGCGCTATTCCGATAAATATAAGCATAATCGGGATCATGAGTGAGTATCAATTTGTATTCAAAACATGCTTTATATAATAAGGATAGATTGAATGTATCATGGAGTTTCTGGTTGAGCGTAAGGTAAGGATATATGAAAGGTGAACTGCTTTTGATGATTATAGCACGGTTCAGTCTTACTTGGTGGATTTTTACATTGGCTTATGAATACTCGAATCTGATTTTATTGATGGAAGATAAGATGTTCAGGTTAAACGCTTATCAACGATGTTTGGTAAGCTAGATGTTTGGTTATGATCAACTTTGGCCACACTTTGTCAAATCTAGTAAAAATCGTACATTGCAAGCTATTATATGAAAGCAAACTTCCTCATTTTAAGACTTAGGTTATCTTAACTATCAATTAAGGTCTAATGTCGACATCTGGGCAAGATCTTGTCAGTGTTCTGTTCAAATCTTATCGTCTGAAACAAATGACTTTCCTACGAGTGAAAATGACAAGAGTAGATCCGATTTTACTCAGATTCTGATTCAAACATTCAGATTTAGGCAATTAGTTCTATTACAAAATCATTGTTAAGAATAAAGTCAAGAAAAATGTCAAAATTAAAAAATTGCTTGAAGAATATAATGGAAATTTTAAGCGCAAAAATCATAAAGAATGAGCAAATCAAACTCCATTATCCCCACTAAAAAGCTGTAAAAACTTCCTCAAAGCATTTCAAATACAAATTTTTCAGCAATAAACGTACGAAAAAATGTTTTTGAAGTGCTGAACTGTTTCTATAGAAATCCAAATCAATTGTTGACTCATGCACAGCATTCTCCTTTTTAAAATACCACATCTCAGCTTCCGTACAGATTTCAAACTAAATAATGGATTCAATTTAATACAACAGGATAGATTTACAAAATGTTAGGTAAATTGATGTGATTGTGAGATGGATAAGGGTCGATGAGCATTTTGTTTCACGGGTTTATGGAATTAAAAACAATGGTGCTTTTGGCACTAAACCAGTATTAGTGATGTAGATCGGTGGATTTTTTTGGTATTTTTGAGTGGAAAAAGTTGAATTTGTAGTTGAATAATTGACCTGAATTTTCATCAAACTACGATTTTTTTGAAGGATGCTTTCGTAGAAACCCTTCATCCTTTAAATAAATATTGTTGAAAAAGTTAATTTAACTCACAAATTTGCCGTTCTCGTGTTCCTTACTTTTGATTTTTCGTCATTACACACGTATGCGCATTTATATGCTAAACAATTTTCTCTCTGTGATTTTAATTGGCTTGAATATTTTATGAATTCATGAAAAATTTTGTTGGAAAAACATAGAAATGGAATGTTTAAAGTTCATGACATTTGTAATTGAGATGAAATCTTAGAAATTGAGGGATACAGAAAAAAATTTGGAATATTATTAATTTTTACTGGTTAGGAGAGGGATGGTTTTGGTTTGTTTACCGTTAAAATAATGAAAAAAGAGAAATCAGAAAATTTAAAGGAATGTGAGTTAAATTGAGTAGGTTTGATTAAAATTGAGGAAAATTGAGCAATAAAATTAAGAAAAACTGAGCGAATTCAAGCACAATTGAGCAACAAAATTAAGCAAAACAAAGTGAATTCAAGCAAAATTGAGCAACAAAATTATGCAAAACTGAACAAATTCAAGCAAAATTGAGCAACAAAATTAAGCAAAACTGAGCAACAAATTTATGCAAAATTGAGCAAATTCAAGCAAAATTGAGCAACAAAATAAAGCAAAACTGAGCAACAAATTTATGCAAAACTGAGCGAATTTAAGCACAATTGAGCAACAAAATTAAGCAAAATTGAGTAAATTCAAGCAAAATTAAACTTAATTGAAGTTGCTTAACGATTAATGAAGCATAGAACAAAAATTTAATTTTACAATGTTTCTGAATACACATTCCCCACATCCTTCACCCAAAACTTAACTAATTTAAAATCACTCAAAGCAAAAGAAAATTTTTCACATTTAAAAAAGCAAAAAGAAATTTTCTAGACAATAAAAAAATAACAAAAAAGATTCTTTTCTTATTAAAAGTTTCTAAGGGAATATAAAAGGAAGGAATACATGAAGAATTCTTTTGTAATGGAACTATGTTAATATTATATACACATGCATATGGCATTCATGTAATAAAATTTTAATTTCTTACTCTTTTCTTCTTCTTTACATGTTCTCATGTGTTTTAAAGTGTCTTTATAATGAATATAAAAGGCAATAAAAGGACAAGAAAAGAAGGCATTAAAAAAACTTTCAGACTTTATTCTTCTTTCTTGTTCAACTAAATGTAAAGATGAAAGAAAAGTAAAATAGATGGAAAACATTATTTTTAAGGAAAATTCTTTATGAAAAATAAGAAAAATTTAAAAGAAGAAAGTTTAGTGAAATTTATGAAGATGTTGGAATGTAAATTTTACCTTTTTTACTTAACAAAGTTTGAACATAATTTTGGTTGAGCTTGTTTGCTGAGGTTTTGTACAAATCTTTATTAGGGGCCTTAAAAAATTAATGCTTAAAGATCTTCAAATTTAACGGTTTTCAAAAATTCAAAATAGATTTCAAAAATTCAAAACGGGTTTCTAAAATTCAAAAGGGTTTTGAAAATTTTATAAACGGTTTTCAAAAATTCAAAATGGTTTTCAAAAATTCAAAATGGTTTTCAAAAGTTCAAAATTTCAAAAAACTTTGTTTTTGAAAGCTTAAAAGTTCGAATGCACCTTAATCAGCCTTACAGCTTCTACTACTTTCCCAACAACCTCAAACTCCACAAGATACATTTTTTTCAGCAAGATAACTTTAAAATGAGGATAAAGATAAAAATAACAATCAATTCTCATTTAAAGTGAACTTATAACTTGGTTCTGAAGAATAAAAAATAAATTTTACTTTTGGGAGAAATCTTATTAAAAAAATTTTTTCCTGCTTCTTTTTATCATCCAAACAGATACTGCGTGGAATTCGAAGTGATTAAGGCGACAAAAGCATGCCACAAGGATCCAATGTATAAGCAATTAATAGAAGGTGAACGAGTTATTATAAAATGTGATTTAGAGGCATTCTTATTGCATGAAGAGAAGGAAGATTTATCAGACAATGAGACATACAGCCATCACACAAAAGAGCGAAAACATTTAGAAAACGAGACAGTAGAGGACTTGAAGAATATCAAAGTGAGCAAATCTAAATCAAAATATCGATGTAGAGGCGAGGGCCTGACTGGCACAACAACAAGATTTAGTGCTATGGCAATTCCATCATGTCATGGCAAGTGGGTGAGACTCACCTTAAAGCAACCGAAGAAATGTTCATATCATGAATCTCAATTTATTTTCGTCTAAAAAATTCTTTTTTTTTCATGAATTTTAAAATTTTTTTCTTTTGTTTTTTGAACCACTTTTTCATTAAGTAATAAAAATGTCCCCCAATCCACTAACAATCATCGTATCAAAGTAAAGAGAATGTATCAGTCAAAAAAAGAATTAGATCAAGTGCCATAAAATTACATAAAAGAAAAAAATCATGTTTTTTTGTCTCTTTGTACATGGAAACGACGAAATTTGTAAATAAAAAAATGGATATACATAAAAATATGGTATTTAATAACTTTTTTGTTGTTGAGCTTTAGTATTTATTTTTTTGTTTTATTTTTCAACATCAGATGCAGTCATGGAACATTAAAATCATTCTTTTTTCAGCAGAGTTGTTGTTTTGCTATTATTTGAGGTTAGGCACTAGTCTTCCTTTAATGTCACACTAGTGTTGCTCTAATGCCACACTAGTGTTGCTCTAATGTCATACTAGTCTTGATCTAATGTCACACTAGTGTTGCTCTAATGTCACACTAGTGTTGCTCTAATGTCGCACTAATCTTGCTCTAATGTCACCAGTGTTGCTCTGGTGTCACACTAATGTTGCGCAGGTGCCACACTACTGTTGCTCTAATGCCACGCTTGTGTTGCTCTAGCGTCACACCAGAGTTTCTCTGATGTTAAGCTAGTGTCGCTTCAGTGTTGTTCTAGTGTTGCTTTGGAGTCACTTCTACTTTGTCTTGAAAACAGTGTGTACCACAACAGATTCTAACCCCTTTCAAAGTTCCGCACCAGAAAATAACAACTCTGCCTAATTCTTCTCAATTCTCCACGCTTCTCACCATTTTATTCATTTTTGTGCTTTTCACTGTTTGCGTTCTCACACGTTCATCGATTATTCATATGTATAGGATTTTTCACATATATTATTTTTCATTCTTTTTTATTTGCATAACGAATTTAGATTAAATTGGATTTTTTATCTCTAAATTGTATTTTGAAGTCTTGTGTTCTTTTTTTTTTCATTGAAAAGTGTACATAAATAAATAATAAAAATTGAATATTTAAAAAAAATTTTTGGAGATTTTGTTGCTTATGCTTTTTTTGAGGTGATTTTAAGGGTAAACATTAGCTATAGTCTACAAGTAAGGAATGCATTTAGGTTGGATTTAGTGATTAGAGCGCATATTTTGTATATAGATGTTTTAAAGAGGTTTAAAGCTTGAAAAAGTCACAAAAAATGCAAAATAACCTCAAAATAGCCTAGAAATACGCTTTTACGTCCGAAATCCAAATCTACATCTAAATGTATAGACACAACAAGCATATAAACATATCGACTGCAACAAAAAGTTGAAAACTCTAGGTGTAAAGATCTATCTTAAAGCGTCATAGTGAATAAAAATTATTAGAGCTAATTAAAAAACATAACTGTAAAATTTTGTGACTTATTACGAAACCTGCTTATTGTAAAACATCGAGTACATCTGCATCCAGGCATAATAACTTAACTAAAAGTGAAAATAATAGAGACAAAAGAACTGTACAAAAGGAAAAATAAGCTATTGTTTTTTGACGTTAATTGAAGCCAAATTAAAACTAGACTCTAATTAGCATAAAGTTTTCGGTCATATCTGAGTAAAAAGTCAACAAACTATTCAGAAATTTATAGTATAATTAAGTAAATTAAGTAGGAAAGTTGATCAAAAGAAACTAACACTAAAGCAACGCGCGCCAAGAAAAAGTGGTGAATTTCAACTAAGTGGTGAATTCATGACAGACAGCAAGTGATTACAAATTTCAAATCTCAATTTAACGGATTTTGCGTTAGATTTTCGCTACTAAGCAGCATCACAAATCCGATCAACTAGACTCCCACGAGGAACTTTGAATAGACTGTTAGGAGATTTCGATCACTAGCAGTCTTGTTTTTCCCGGTACGTTTGACATAAAAAGCTGAAAAGATCTTTTGTTGCTGCCTTAATCGTCTGTTTCTCTCTCTTTCAGCCAAATAGTGGGAGTCTATCTATCTATCTATCTAATCAGGTCTTCTGTTGATGAAAGGAAACTATGAGTGTAAAAAGGTCACCATTGCCAAGTCAAAGCAAACAAACTCCAGCTAATGACTACCAGGAGGAGCTAAAGACCCCAAGAAGAATTAACAAAAGAACCGCTGAAAAAAAAGATGAAAGTTCTGATGAAGAATTGCAGAATAAACCAAAAAATCAGAAATTTGATGAAGATACCTCGCAACCTTCTCTTAAAGACATCTTGAATCAATTAAAGTCAAGTGAAGCTGCCATAAAATCGGAAATAAGGAATGACATCGAGGTTTTACGGAAAGATGTGACATATCAAATCGGTGAACTAAAAGGTTCTCTTGATGCGGTAAAAACTGAAGTCTCTGACCTATCAGTGAAAGTAAATGGTCTCGAAACCAGAATTGATGAAGTGACTAGTATAGCCAATGAGAACAGCAAGTTGATTGGGTCATATAATAACATTCAGTTTGAGAGAAACACGAAGGCCATAAATTACTTGAAACAAAAAGAGCTTCAGAACAAGATTGATATTGTAGGAGCGAAATGGCCAGAAACAATGGAAGGAAAAAATATAAAAGAAGAAGTTAAGAAGCTGATGAGAAAATATAATGTTGATATGGATGTTTCACTGATAAAGGCAGCCTATATAAGGAAAGTCAATTCACTAAATATCAAGGTTATGGTAGTAGAATTTCTTGATTTTGAAACTAAAATAAGAATATTAAAAGAAAAGAGGCAATCAAAAATAAGGGATGGAATATTCTTCGATAACTCACTAACTCCCCTGAATGGTAAACTAATGAGCAGTTCAAGAAAAATTGCGAAAGAAAAGAACTTTAAGACATACCTGAACAATAATAAAATCTGCATTAAAAAGTCCAACGTTGAAGTCAAATGGATTGAATCTGAATCTGATCTGGAAATCGTGAAACTATGGGTGCCAAACCCTAATCCAAATGCACAAAATAATGCTACTCAGGCTAGTTCATCTTCAATAAATTTGATTGTGTCATCAACAGCATAGCAATTACAGTCAATCGTTTCACCAAAGCAATGTTCACCTAAAAAGAAAGCAAAAATTAATAAATCTGTTAAACTTGTCGAGAATCTCTACTTCAATTCTTTTAATGAGTTCAAGGATGCAAACATATCACTAAAAAATCTAACAATATTCCAACTAAATACCAGAGGAATCAATAATCCCAAAAAGTACGAAAAGATTAAAATTCTTCTTTCTCAACTGGATGAAAAGTTTGATATCATTGTTTTCGGTGAGACAAAGTTGAAGCAATCATTTCCTTATGGAATCTACAATTTAAATGGCTATGAGCGTTATAACTGCTGTCGTGATTCAAAGAATAGCGGAGGAGGATTGATGATGTTTGTAAGGAAAGGCATATTAATAAAAAGCGTAATAAAAGAGTCAACCACATTTGAGAAAATCAGAATGATAATTAACACTGGAGACAAAGACTATAAAATTCTGTCATACTACAGGAATCCTGTGCAACAATCAATCAAACCATTTCTCAAGGATGTGGAAGATGAATTGTTAGAAAGTGACAAAAGAACAATTATCCTTGGAGATGTTAATCTTGATGCCAACTCAGATAATAGAGAATCAGAGCAATACGTCGAGTTATTAAATAATTATGACATGGAAATCACTAATAAATTCATGACAAGAAACGAAAGTGGAAGGATTATAGACCACTGCTGTATAAATTTCAACGATAAGTCTAAAATCAAGAACTACACGATTCACACAAGGCTGAGTGATCATAATATAATTATAACAGAACTTTCGTGCATAAAAAAGGAAAAAGATGAAAAAGTAATCGAACTTGAATGGACGAACTGGAATCAGTTGAAAGAAATGTTCATAATGAATTATACAAAATCTTCAATTTTACATGAACAAAACCCAAACAAAATTGCTGTTGAGCTGATAAACATTACAAAGGAAGCCATTATGAAAGCAACAAAAAAAACAAAATTTAAGTTTAATAAGGACTGCAAAATATGCAAGTGGTTTAATATTAGGATCATGAAAGCGATGAAAACCAAAGATAAGCTGATGAGAATGTGCAAGCGAAAAAAGGGAAATGTCGTCCTCAAAAACAAACTTAGACAAGCTTCAACAAGACTAAAGAAAACAATAAAAGAAGAAAAAAATAGATTCATAAAGAAATCATTAACTGGAAATAATATAAAAAAGATCTGGAAAAATCTTAATGAGATATTAGGACGGAAGTCCAAGACTAATAAAATAACTGCGATTAAGGATGAAAAAGGTGAATTAATCTTCGATCCAATGCCCATTGCTGAGAAATTCAACAACTACTTCATTGAGTCAGTAAAGGAAATTAAGAGTAATTTGACTGAGAGCTTACATAAAATTAATGAAAAATCTGTAGCTAGCTCAATGGTGCTTGAAGAAACTAGTGAAGAAGAAATTATGGAAATTATAATGTCCTTAAAAAACTCATCACCTGGTATTGATGGAATTAAAGCAATGCATGTCAAAGTATTAGTAAATGAAATCACACCCATTCTGGTTCACCTCATTAATGAAATGATGAAGCAAGGCATATATCCCAATGCCTTCAAGACAGCTATCGTTACTCCGATTAATAAGTCGGGAAAAGAGACCGAAATTAATGACTATAGACCAATCTCTGTCCTAACGACATTTAACAAAATCGCAGAAAAAGTAATCCACAAAAGGCTAACAAATTTCACAGATGGTTACTTAAAACTTATCTATAACCATCAATATGGGTTTAGACGAAGATCAGGAACAGAGACAGCGGCACTTGAAATGATGAATTATGTTCAATTGGCTCTGGATAAAAAGAAGAAAGTCTCACTTATATCTATGGACCTGAAAAGAGCTTTTGATATTGTCGACATAAACAAATTATCACTTACACTTAGTAACTGCGGTGTGAGGGGACAAGCTCTTAATTTGTTGGTGGACTATCTATCGTGTAGGCAGCAAGTCGTCAAAGTAAATGGAGTCATCAGTCCATTAATTACTTTCACCCAAGGAGTTGTTCAAGGATCAGTTCTGGGAAGTTGGCTTTTTCTCCTATTCTACAACTCAATTTCAAACTTGGATCTCGAAGGCAAGCTTTTCTTGTATGCTGATGATAGCGTTCTAATAAATATCCACAATAACAGTGACAACATTAATGACAGGATCTGCAAAGATATG